TAAGCCACCTGGAGTGTCTACAAGATACCTATACTTCCTCATTTAAGGAACAAGTTAAGAATAAGTTATATCGGTGCAATAGTTGTGCTCAGTAGCTCGGTTGAGCACACAGAGGAGTGCCTGGGCAACCTAAGTCTGCAAAGTAGAAAACAAAGGGGTTAAGCACAGATCATAGGATCGTGCTACAAATTAAAAGCAAGGTAAAAAAGCCCTACTTCGGTTTTATGGACAGGTTCTATCTCGGTTCAGTAAAAATGATTGGTAGCTCGGTTTGAGTAGGGTTTTTATTTGCCAGACCTTGGCAAATATCTCGGCATATTGGCTTTGGAATCAATTTTTAGACCGGTTCATCGTCTAAAGGGCAGCTTTCTGAGTTCGGTCTAAAAGACTAAGAAAGCCGGTTTAGCCCCAAAGGCATAAATCGGTTGAACTATGAGTTTTGTTACTCCGGTTGAGCCTCTAGGGGCAGCTTTCTGAGTTTGGTTTAGAAACTAGGAAAGCTGGCTTTGCCCCAAGGCCTAGCTCGGTTTAAGACCGAGGTTCCTATTTTAATGGGTTCAAACGTCGTTCAATGAGCTTATCTCGGCCAGAGTGATTCGAGAGTTGACAACCTACTGAAACTGTTGTTATTTCTACAAGTTCTAGTTCGGTTATTGTTCAAAGTGATCTACCTATGTAGGACAAACAGTATCCTAGTTCGGTTGCTACATGATTTTGGATCCAAAGCTTGTTTTCTACAGAATAAGCTCACACACATGGGTTCTGCTAATGTTTTTTCCATGGAAGTTCAGAAGCAAAAACAAAAATGTACAAGCATGTTTCGTAAAAACATAGAAAGCAGAAAGAAGAAAAGCAAAGCAGGTTTCTTGAAGCTTACCAGAGGAAGACGAAGCTAGAGAGGGAAAAATGGCAGCAAAGTCACAGCCTCTTCGAGTGCAACGGGAGAACAGCAAGAACACAGGAAGGAAAGAGAAGAGAGTGATAGTCAAGTGGTAATCCAAAATATAGAAGGGGTTGTTTTGTGAAAAGGACGAAAGGAAAAAAAGGGCGGGACTGTTCAAAATTTTCGTAGTACGAGGGTGGTGTGACAGCTGCCCACAGCCTATCAGAACCTGCCACGTGTCATTAGAAAGTGAAGCGTTACAGTCACCGATTGAAGAGACGTTTTGACCGAACGAGTAGAGCCGGAGTGAAATAAGCTCGACTGGAGGGGCTACACGGTTTTTTAGCCCGGCTGGAGAGGCTAAAGGGGTTTTTTTAGCCCGGCTGGAAAGGCTTAAAAGCGTTAGCTCGGCTGGTCACCAGGTAATCCCAATCATGCTGTGCAGATGGAATTAAGGGGCAATTGAGAGGGTAATTTTTAGTGAAAATTGGGCCGAGCTATGAGATGGACTTTATGGCCCAAAGTATGAAGGATTGGGTTAAAAAAGGGCCGAGAAGTTTCTCCGGTCCAAGAGAGATGAGGTTACTCCGGCCAAAAGAGATGAAGTTACTTCGGCTCAGGAATTGTAAAGTTACTTCGGTCCGGAAGCAACTTGGAGTTATACCGGTCTTAGAGTTATACCGGTCGCGAATTGTTGGTTCGGTCTAAACCGTACCATGAGTTCTGCATGGAAAGCCGAGATAGGAAAGAATAAACGGAAGAACCGAACTAAGGATAGTTCGGCCTACTCTGTAGCTCAGTATAGCCAGGTTTATCTCGGTCGTATGGTAGTTCAGCCATGGTGAAAACTATCCCACTTGGTTTAAATAGTGGGGGGGTGTAAAAGGATAAGCATTATCCTATAGGAGTATGAATCCTAGGAGGACTCTGCATGGAGAAATAAGAGTCCTACTAGGATTGTGCCACTCGAAACCTATAAAAGCTCACAAACATCACCTTGGAGGAAGTAACACAAAAAAAGACAACACACAATTTTGCTTTCTGAATACATTGAGCTTTGTCAAGTTTACTGACTTAAGCATCGGAGAGGTTTCCGGCACACACCCGCCGGCTAGCTCACGTTTGTGTTTTCAGGTGACAAAGCGACGTTGTACGGAGGAGCGCGGACTTAGTCAACAGGATTATACGAGGAGAATTATTTCTTTCCCGTACAGGAGGTGTTGATGGATATATAGAAATGGAGTAGATAGAGATATAGTAGAGAGAGAAAAAAGAATGGCATTTTTTATAAATTTGAAATTGTGTAAGGGGCATTTTTGTTTTCAAAATGACCCTACTCTCCACATAGGCTAGGCTAGTGGTTCTCACATTCCGTTATGTTAAACAGAAAAGTCAACAGTACACTTTAGTCCACAAATCACATGGGAGTTATGTGATGATTTCCAAATGTTAGGGGGGCAAACCGCACTCGGCCCAAACCTTAGAGAGTAAAGTGAAGTTTGTCTTTTTTATATTTTAACTAAAATCTCATTTTAACTCTTACAATTTAGGTCAAGTCATAATATTATCATCGTATCTATTTATCGTTAACGATGTTGATTAGAATGGAAAGTAAAATAATCAAAGTAAAATTTTGATAAAAATATAAAGATTAAAGTAAAAATTTAATAGAATTGAAAAAGTATTAATGAGGCCAGATATAGCAAGCTTCATCGATTTTATTAATGACATATGGATGAAAGTGTGACAATGTTGCTGAAATTACAGTATTAAGAATTAATTATTAAAAATTTAAAGGTGATACGTAAAATTGACTCAAAAGAAAAAATTAAGGTTACATTTGGTGAAATTTTAAAATTATGATTTGAGAATAGAGTTGTATTTTGAATGTGAGTTTAGAATTATGATTGAAGTGTGAAAGATTTGCTTGATTATAAGTTTTGAAAAGAGTTTTGAATTGAGTGATGTAACATATGATATTTGATTCAAAAATTTACAACTCATAACCAAACATACAACCCAAAATTCTATTCAAAATTCATAAAAAAATTTAAAAAAATTCTCAAAATATTTGTTATTTAAAATATAAAAATAGTACGTGCCAAAAAAAAAAAAAAAAAACGAATACTGTTCCGATTAACTCGCCAAACGTTTTCAGAATGTCCATAAAAATGACCGGATATACGTGGTTTAAAAAGTGAATTTAAAATCAATTTTTAAAAATTATGAGCAAACATCACGTGTAAATCAAGAGATAAAATCAAAATTTTAAAATTCTACCACGCATACCTGAAGCGTCATTTTACAATCTCTTAGTATGACATGTATACCAATCAAAAATCGAAGATCACACGTTCCGGACAATTATTGGTGCCAATTGTAGTGGTGGTGATGCTTTCCCTTCACGATAAGAAATCTAATCACAACTCTACTTTCACACGTAATATGAATATCAGAATTGACTTCACCACTGTTTATTTGTAGTCTTAACTTTTTATGCTAATGTGAGCATGTTTTAGTGTAGTTTATTGTTTATATATATATATATATTAAAAATTAAGAATTTTTAATAAAATGTTTGGTATACTTTTGTTTATAGTTTGTGAAGAGTTAGCGTGTGCAGAAAAAACTATAACATTAGAATGGACGAGTGAATATGAGTTGTGTTAACGTTAATGAGTTATTATATGACTCTTTGATGACTTACAATTACAAATAGTGAGTCTTTATTGACTGAGGTGTTTAGTAGTCGAGAACAAACTTATGTTTAATCTAGTATAGTAGATTGTATTCTAACTAAAGTGCATTAGTAGAACCTCTAATGATAGCATATCTAGATTTGAGAATTAAGAGATCATTTTATACCTTTTGAATTTACTAATGAGAGTATTATGTACCACTTAACCATTTTACTTTGCCCTAGGTAGGATCAAGTCCCATGTACAATGATTTTTTTTAGAAGTGATATGTATTATCTTACTAATTGTAGACTTGTATCATGAACTTGATCCACCTATACTTGGTTCTGTCTATTCTAGCTATATATTTGGCCGAACACTTGACTATGAGTCATGCTCGACTTTCGTCCTCCTAGCTTGGCCAAGTCGTGTAGTTTTGTAAAATTACCTCCTACAAGTAATTATTAAAAAGTTGATGAATTAATATTTTTAACTTTTAAAATATTTTACTAAATAGACTCCATATATTAGTGTATATATCTTGTGTACTTTAGGTAAAGTTTGATTTGCAAATAAGAGGGGATATAAGACTACTTTATTTTGAGATAAAACTAAATATAAGACCCTTTCATTTCACAAGTGTAAGATAATTTTGTCACAAAAAGAAAAGAACAACATATCTGAAGATAAGAATTTAATCACAAAATGTTGAAATTATCCTTCTCAAAATAACTTATTCTATCCCGAGATAAGTTATCCCTTTCAAATTTCATCCTCCAATCAAACATAACTTTTTAAGGACAGCCAGCCCAACTTGCCATTACTATCAATTTTGTTGAGAAGCATCTGTGATTGGGTTCTAGCTGTGCCTTGGTCCATCGAGATTTTTTTTTCTTCAAATGGTCGGTTCATCGAGATTATTCGAGTAATTCCTTCTCCAAAGCGGTCATTCACCGACATATATCTGGTGTATTTTTTTATAAATTAAAAAACATAAGTTCAAAGGTTTTTTTTTTTTTTTTAAAAATTTAAATTTATAAATAAAAATTATACTAAATAGTCTAATCTACTAAAAAAAAAATAGTTATAGACAGTTTATATAAATTACCCTAGATAACCTCCATATAAAAAAAATAAGTTGATAAAATATAAGTAGAAACACAATCCGAGCACATGTACCTTAAAAAAATTAAAACATCCATAATTAATCATGTGATAAAGAAGATAAATGATTAAGAAAATACTATTTATCATGAGATTTTATGTCAAAAATAAGATGTGTAGTATAAATTTAAAATTAATAAAATATGAATGCTACATAAAATAATTAAATATGTTAATAATAATCTTACTAAATAGGTATTATTATTATTATTAGCATTAATTTTTCTTAATAATCTTACTAAAATGACCCTTAATTTTTCTTTATATGTTCGTGGTGCAAAGTATCTCAACGGCCCAAAATGAGCTCCTCCTCACCGCAAATCCAAAGCATATTCTCCTCAATACCTTATTCCCCTTTTTAACAAGCCATCCTTCAATCAAACATTTTAGAGAGAGAAACAGAGAGAAATGGGTAGAGCCACAAAAGAGAAGAAAACAGCGAGAGCCGAAGTGTACTACGGAGACGAAACATGCAGAGAAAAATCGACGATGTTGCTAACAGAGATGGGTTTGCCGAATTGGCTAATACCATTCGACGAAGACATAAAGGAATTCGGGTACGTGATCGAGACAGGGTTCGTGTGGCTGAAACAAAGAAATCGGAGAGAATACAGGATAGAGGAAGTTGAAGGGAAGGTGCTTGTATATGACTCGGAAATCACAGCCTATGTTGAACCCAAGAAGATCAAGAAGCTAACTGGTGTGAAGACCAAAGAGCTTTTCGTTTGGATCACTTTGAGTGAAATTCTTGTGGATGGCTCTACGGGGACTATCACCGTCAAGACTCCCAGTGGCCTCTCCAGGTCTTTTGCTCTCTCTGTTTCTGCTGCTTAAAATATATCATGTGGATGAATTTCATCCCTCTTTTTTTTAATGGAAAATAATTTACAACCAGATTTTTTGTACAGTTTTTTCTATTTTTTTTCTTCTTAGAATGATGGTTGTGCATCAAAATTGTGGGTATTTTAATTTATTTAAAATGAAAGAAAAATTTATTTAGAATGATGTGACAATAGCATTTATGAAATTATAAAAAGAAAAAAAAAAAATTATTTGTCATAAAAAAAATTTGTTATCAGATCATCCCTCTTTTTTTTTTTTTTTTTAATGGAAAATAATTTACAACCAGATTTTTTGTACAATTTTTTCTATTTTTTTTTTCTTAGAATGATGGTTGTGCATCAAAATTGTGGGTATTTTAATTTATTTAAAATGAAAGAAAAATTTATTTAGAATGATGTGACAATAAAGAAAAAGAAAATATTATTTATCATAAAAAAAATTTGTTATCAGAATGACGTGGATGTGGCGATGACTTATAAGTCCCGGTGCAATCACGTTATTCTGGATACAAATTGTGTTTAAAAAATTACAAGAGGGTACATCATTCTATATAAGAAATTTGTTTGTATATTATTTCTCTAAATTTGTACAGAAAAAAATTAGAAATTATCAAGTAATTTAGGAAGATTAACCTGGTGGTGTGCCCGGTTACATGCGTTCAAGTATTTGCTTTGTTTCTACTTTTCTTTGAAAAATAGAGACTCTTTATAATTGGGAGGGCACATGATCAAGTAGTATTTCGAAAACACCAAATAATTTCTTGCTTGTGTATATAAGGCTTACTAAATTTAGAAATAGTAATGGGTCTCACTACTATTTTCTAGATATGGTATATGGCATTTACTTTAAAAAGAAATTTTTTGTTTTTTGTTGAAATTTATCCGGTGATATATCAAAGCAGCTGTGGAAATGGATGCCCTGAAGGAAACAGTTTCCAGATGATGGGTAAGACACTCAACCTAAGCTTCTTTGGCTGAGAAAAACAATCAAAATTCATTGTAAATTTGTAATTAATCACTCAGCCACCAAGAATTTCAATGATTTACATTAGCATAAACCAATACAATTTTTTTTGGTAGTTGTATTGGACCTACTATATGTTATAAAAATAAGACACAGAGAATATATGTGCTCTAATTATTGCCATTAGTAAGCATTTCACCTTAAAACGACATCTATATGTAATACTATATCAACTTTTTATGTGTATTTATGTGATAAAAATTATATATATATATATATATATATATGTAGAACTCAATATAGTTAAAAATAACATGATTTATTGGTGATATATAACAGTCATCTTTTTCAAAATAAAAAGGGAATTTTTTTTAAATTTGGTGCTAGAAAAATGTTGTTATTTGCTCCCATCAGATTTCTCTAGACCTCTACCTTCTTTAGACTAAGCCCTTGCTTCGTTTTTCTCATCGGAGTTTAAAAAAAAAAAAAAAAAATTCAGACTACATAAGTTAATAAGACAAAATATTATTTTTTATTCATAATCATTACACTTTTTTTCTCACAAAAATAAAAAAAGTCCCAAAACAAAAACCAAACAAGACTAAAAAAGCCACGCTAAAAAAGTTTCAACACAAAAAAATTGACTATATTAACCAATGCCAAACGACCCCTAAATTTTGAATTTTTTTTCTTTGGACCCCATCTTAATCCCAATAATTCTACTATCATTCCTTACACACTAACCTCAGCTCTCATCTTTACCTCTGGTTGTCACTGTGCCTCATTCAGCAACCCCTCTCACTGCAACTCCCATTCCACCCTTCATCTACTAGTGCCTTCCCTCCTCCATCCCTGTTTTCCCTCGCCCTCTACAGTCTCCACCGTCACTATCGCCACCCTCCACAAACCCCATTTGTTGTGATCCCTATCCTGTGACCCTTGCAACCTTTTTATACTTGGCAGCCTCGCCATACAAAGAGAGAGAGAGAGAGTGGGGGGCAAGGGAATGAAAGGATGGGTTGAGAAAAGGAGAGTTGGTAGAGCTAGGGATGGAGGAGAGTAGCTATTGGTTGGAGTTCATGGGTTGGGATTTGGGTTAAAAAGGTTCAAGAGGTTAGGGATGAAAGTAACAAAAAGTCTACGCGCACAGAGGATTGAACACATAAACTGTGTGTCTGGCAGGCAATTGGTTAGAGCTTGTCGATTGTAGTTGTCATAGTGTCGACCGCAGTTGTCATTTTAGTCAAAGTTTGTCGACTGCGACTGTTATGGTGTCTTCCAATCGTCCGACCGGTCATCCGATAAAATAATTTGCGTTTGATCCTCTGTGTGCACGTTGCTGATGGAAGTAAAGATGAAATTTTATGATAGGCTAAAATAATAATAATAATTTGAAGGAAGGAGTTCAAAAAGAAAGGTGTAAGTTGAAAAGGTAAAAGGCAAATGGCCAAACTGCTACCCAGTTGGTACCCAATAATTTTTCGCCAAACTGATCTATTTCATGAATGGAATAGATGTATCTATTTTATGATTAATAGCTAGAAATGATTCACAACAATAAATTTTTATTTTAAATTTGAAAAAAGTTAAAAGAAATGGGCTAAGAAATTATGCACTCTAAAAGGTTAAAAATTAATTTTATTAGGATTAACTTTTTATAAGCATATTTTTTGTCAATAAATTGTTATTATTATTATTATTTAACTAACTCTTAAAAAACTCTTAAATATCGTGAGGTGGGATCCACTTGTTTTTCACTAAACCGTACACGTAATCTCCATTTACCCATTTGGTTGGAGACTAAAATTGATTGAGTGAAACTATGGCTTATTTTGGCAATACAATTAAAAATTATTTTTTTGACTTTTATTTTTTATTTTTTAAGATTATATCATTTATTTATTTTTTTTACATTTTTTTTTTGAAAAAGTCTAAAAACAAATAAAAAAATTAAACTTTAACCTACTTATCAAAACAGACCTATCTAATAATACCACGTGTTATTATTGCACTTATTAATTAATATATCTACTAATGGGTCAAATTTAAAACTTTACCATCAAGGTCAGAACCAGAAATTCATTTGCAGGGGACCAAGACATGAATAAAATTTTTTTATCTGAATTGATATAAACTACTATTTTTTTAATTCAAAAAATAAATTAAAATTTGATATTAAATTAGTAAGTAAAAAATAAAACAATCATATACTTAGTGAATTTAATACATGAATAAAAGCAAAGTCATGTATAAATAATTCTTTATACAAATCAACTCAATTATCTATCAAAGGGGACCTCGACATTCTTTCATATCTTGAAAGTCTTCAATGATTGACTTTGTGATAAATTTTTTGGCAATTTCCTTTTCCATGTACACAAGCAAAGAGTCTCTAAGAAATTTATTTTCCATTTTGTTACAGTTAAAATAAATTTCATATAAACTTAAAATTGAAAATTTAGATTGAACATATAAAATTCATTTTAATTTTGAATTTATAACACTTAATTTGAATAAAATTAAATTTGCCCAAATATGATTAAAAAAATAACCTAGCAATTGAAATCTCATGTCCTAATTCATGAATTTTTTCTTAATATATAAAATTAAAAAAATTGTAATTGTATCAACACGACATTGAAAAAAAGATAATAAAAATATTACAAATTGAAAATAGGAATAAAAGAGAATATGAATCACATACTTGCAATAATAAGAAAAACTAATAGCAAAAGCAACGCTCTTTTTCTTTGTTACTCGTTGATTTGACTCCAAGAAAAACCTTACAATTTTAAAGAACAACAATGATAGAGAGCTCTAATTTTAGAGCTCTAGAGAAAGCTCTAGTAATATAGCAAGAGAAAAAAAAAAACATAGATATATATATCATATTATATGTGAGTCTCACTCTTTATCACATAACTAGAACTCTCTTTAAAATTTTAAAATTAAAATTCTCAATATTTATTCTTTTAAAGAATAAATGATGTCGGCACTGCAGCAAATCTAAAAGTTTTCTTTTTGTGCTTTCTGTCTCTTTCTCATCAGGACACGAGAAGTGAATTTTTAATTATATTTTATTCTTTATTCTATGTTCAGTTTTGTTTTTTTTATTTTTTTTTGTTTTGAGAGAAAGAGAGAAAAGAGACCAAGAAAAAGGAGTGAGCCATCTAATGCGCAACTGAGGCCGAAATTACTTGATAATAAAAAAAAAAGCAGCCGAGCCATCTTTTCTAAATAATTATTTATTATTAATATTAAGTTCAAAATATATAATAAGCTTTTTTTAAATTTTAGCAAGGGGGCCGTGGCCCTTTTGACCCACGCATAGGTCCGTCCCTGCCTACCATTGCATCATTGAGATGTAAAATGACAAAAAGAAAATGAAACAAAAAATTATATAGTGGAAGTACATCATGTCACTAGAATTTCACAATGGTCCATTATTAATCATTAATTTAGCAATAGTCCACCAATAATCATCTTTGTGCTGGGAGATGTTTGCCAGATAAGAAAGAGTGAATGAGAGAGAGTGCTTGGCTGGGCTTGTTAAGAGGTACCAAGTGACCAGCTCCTCTCACTGTCACATATGTCAAGCCTTCATACTCAACTATCCTCCCTCCCACCTGCATTTTCATCCACCATATATCATATCAGCTGTGCTACATGCATAAGAATTATTTATGAGGATTAAAATACAAGAAAGTAGGGACCACACTTGGGCTTCACTTATGGTATAAAAAATCAGTCACGGGATAAAAGACAAGAGTGGGGGCCACACTTGGGATCCACTTATGGATTCTGCTCTTGTTTTTATTTTGTGAATGATTTCTGTGTAAAAAATTTACTTTGTATCACATAAATTTGGTATCAGTTCCTGATTTGTTTAGTTTTATTTTGTTTTTTGTTTTATTTTGTTTTTCCCTAATGAATAAGTGTTAGGATCCCTTGGTTGTTAATTCCGCGAACATGGTTCAGTTGTAATGTTTGTACTCTAGTTGTCTTTGGAATAGATCGAGCGGTGAAGTGATGGCTCGAGCGAAAAATAACATCTCTTAGTAGTGTAGACTTGTCCTGCAAAAATACTAGGAGGTTACATTATGCACTCAAGTATACTTTCTATCACTCAAGCGAAGGCACTTATGGTTTCTCCGCATCTTCAACACATTGCTCGAACAAACTTTCCTGCACTCGAGCGGTCTTTATGATCCTATTTTGTTTAAAGCTGTGCAAGTTGCAGATTTTAAGGTTACGACTTCTAGATATGAAACTTGAGACTCTGTGTTTTCTTCTAGAGTACTTACCTATTGTTTCCCTTAATGATTTTGTGAGTTGATCGTGTCACATGAATTGGATTTCTTATGTCAAGGGGTTTGTTATGGTTCTACTTTTCTAGAGCGTTTAGTCGGTGGATTCCGAAGATTTGAGCTTGGAGGTTTTGAAGGAGTTTGAAACTGCTCATCGTTGTAGACTCGACTTGAGTGTTGTGGATTCAACATTGTGCTAATCAATTCCGAGACGAAGGTGTTGTTGAAAGAAGCACAAGAGATAGAAGACAATTCCTGAGCATGTTGGGTAATTGTTTGTACTCTTGTGTATTTTCATTATCTTCATAATTGATTGATTAGTGACTTTTAGCCCGTGATTTTCAATCACATTGGAAGTGCTCCAATTGTAATTTCACGTTAACATCTTTTGTGTCGATTTATTAATTATGATACAATAATCTAAATTGCTTTCGTACGTGTTACATGATTTATTGTTAGTTTTTGTGTTTGGAATTTTCTGCAATTAATTCTATTTTGAATCACGAATTACTTAATTTTTTAATAAGTTAAACTATTACTAATAGTCATTGGATGTTTCTTTATAAGTTTGCACTCCAATCTATTAGTTAGAAACCAAGGCATACAGCCATTATAGTTAAGCTCAAGTTCGAATAAATTATTTTGTTAGTTCATTTAGTTTTGAAAAAATTTCATTTTAATTTTTGTATTTTTTGATTTTATTAATTTAAACCACACACATTTAATTGCGTTTCAATATGCTTTTGTTTCCATAAATTGCAGCTCGCATTTTATATTCGTTCCAAAATTGCAATGACAAATTGCAGATGTGCCATATCGAAACACAATTGTAAATGTGAGATTTAAATTAATAAAATTAAAATTATAAAAATTAAAATCTTGTTAAAAATTAGAGAGATCAACGGTATAATTTCCGTTTCTTTTTTTCTCAAATAAGTGAAGTATAGTGGTCCTGATTAGATACGATTTAAAAGCCAAAAAAACCCGAATTGTTTTGAGAACAAAAAAATAGTAGTACTAGAGATATATAATTTTTAGGGAAATGATTTGTAGCCCTAAAAACCTCACCCCTAATCCCCCTAATTTCCATTTCTGGCAACTTACTCTCTCAAATAAAAAAATAAAAAAATTAAACTTGTTGGACTTCGCTTAATACATTTTTGTCTTTTTTGGGCTTCTTCCAGAAGAAAAGTCAACCAATAAAGCAACTACAATCTACCATGTGAAGCCTAGTATTCAATTTGCATTTGCAAGGCCAAGAGTTGTATTACCAAGCAAGTGGTGCTAACAGAAACCAAAAAGTGGAAAAGCCAAAAACTAGTTGTATTTATCAAAAATGAAAAAAACTGAAAAATTCTATTTAAGAGAACCTAAAAATGAAAAAAACTGAAAAATTCTATTTAAGAGAACCTAAAAATGAAAAAAAATAAAATAAATTTGATTGGTGTTACCCAAGACTTTCAGCTCAGAACTATGGTGAAGCAAGGCAAAGTAGTCAAGGGCATTGCTTTTGTTTTTCTCTTTTGATAGCTTGAGCCTACTTTTGAAGTTGTGTGAAATAGAAACTAAAAATATCTCTTATCTATTAATTATTAAAGTAAATTGATTAATTCAACATTAGTTATACTTATAAGTTTTTTGATGGAGATTTTGGATAAGCATCGATTATCTAACCATACTAATCTATTAATATCTTATCAAGTAAAACAAAAATAAAAAAAGTCAAACCTGATGGTTGTGGTACCAAGAACGCCATGGGGATTTGAGAGGCAATCCAAGAGCTTCAATGCAGTATCTTGACCCTATCACTGGCACTCTCCCATCTGTGTCTCCACTGCTCACGGCAGCCCAAACCACACCCACCACACCCGAAAAACAAATTTAAATCATATTACAATGTGTACGATTTTAAAATTGACAGTGGTAATATGATATTCAACAATAATTGAGAGTTTAATTTTTTAAAACAATATTCAATATAAAAAGATAGACATATAAGGCTGCAATTGCAAGTTGTTCAAGTTTCGCTCCAAAACTTAGTGAGTTTCAAATTATGTTTAAATTTGGTTTATATATATAACAAGTCAATCTTGAATTGAGCTCGCGTAACTTGGTTCTTTATAGTAGATATATGCTTATTGAGTAATAGGTCATTCAACTTTTACTTAAAAATTTAACAAGTTTTAAAATATGTTTACATTTAAATTGTTTACCTAACGAGTCAATCTCAAACACATTTTTTATGAGTCAGTCTCAAACGTGTGTGTGTTGTTCAATGTGCAATGAATCAGAAAAGCTGAAGATGCCAACTGCCAACAAGTCATCAAAAACCAACCAGTCTAAACAGTATTTTATTCCTTTTATTTTTTCTGACTTTGAATCTCTTTATGCAGTGTTTGGTTGAGAGATTTAGAGAGGGATTTGGAAAGGGAAAGGAAAAATGTATGTGAAATTAGGTGAAATATAGGTATATTTATTCACATTTCACCTAACTTTTCCATTTCCTTTTCAAATTCCTCCTCAAATTCTCCAACCAAACATTCTCCAACCAAACAAAGTACTAAGGTAAGACCAAATTGGATCCATCCTCCTCAAAAATTATACTGTAATTAATTATAAATTATTTGTATCAATTAAATTTAGGTGCAACAAGAGATTAAGAGGTCCTGAGTTCGAGTCTCTATTTCACTCAATATGTGAAGTACTAGATACTAACCATTCGATCATAGATCCAAATTGGAACCTGTTATCATTAATTTCTATGTATATGTTGTGGGAAGACGAGTATTTCAGTATCTCTTGTAATTTTGTTTAACAACATTAAAAACAGCAGGTCAGTAGAGGTTTTGATATTCCCAAATAAATAATTTAACACTATCCATGGTTGATGGTTTCAAGGCTAGGGGAATTTCGATGGTTTTGTCCTAGATAAGGAAACACTACTCCGTTAGAATTGTAAGTTTTATTATGAAGGAAAACATAAAACAAAAGGAAAAGAATATATATATATTTTTTGGTTGTTTCTCTTACAAATTTAAATTTCAAAAACAACATTATATCATTAATGGATTGGGGAGGGCATGCAAAGGGGGGAGGAGAGTAATATAGAAGTACCTGTAAATCCAAATTTTGAGGCCACCTTTGATGAGTTTAGTGTAGATGGGTAGGACAGAAAATACAGTAAAGTTATATGTGCCTAATACAGAATTGCTGCAAAATTTAGTTAATTATCCACACTAATTAGTCGAAACAAAAATCAAAACATGGAAAGAAAAGAAAGAAAATTAACAAACATAGATTGAAGTATAGAGTAAGAAAGCTAACTTACTTGCAGACATTCCAATTGACAAAACCATTTGCACCTCCTCTAGTATTTGCATGAAGAGATGTTTGAACATCAACCCTGTTGAAGTAGTGTTGTGTATATGTAGAGTAACATGGATCATACCCACCTCCACCACCTATTCTCATCCTCCTCGATCGATAGTTTTGTGTCTGCTATAAAGTTCGTCCAAATAAAACCTTCAAAGACCAGATTATCTATTCTATTATATACAACTTACAACTCGTAATGCTTTGTCACAGTTTTTTCATTTTCAAATTGTCCTGCACCTGCCTCACTTTTTTATTTTAAATTTCAATTTTTTATAAATTTTCAGTATTTTTTTCTCTTCATATATCATTTTTTTTTATCAATAAATAAAAGATCAATAGATTGATTTTTATAAACGTAACACACATTTCTTACAAACGGAATGCATGTGCATACAGAATGATATAGTATTACATGATTCGTTTGTTTTAATTTTTATTTAGATATACAGAAATATTCCTATCCTATCATTCAAATTATGTTATGACAATCATTTTAATATATATATATATATATATAACTATATAAATATGATTAGAATCACCTTAGAAGAAAATATATCACCGTCACTGCCACGGCCACTACCACTAGTGTTGAGAAGACAAATAGGGGCATAGATATTATAGATGTCAATCTCATTGTACTTCTCAAATACCACACTCATGGCTGCATTACATTCACCAGACCAATCAAAGACCTTGAAATTGCATACTTTTTTAGCATTTTCAAATTCTTGATCTGATATTACTGAGTGGCTCCATGCATACTCTAGCAGTCCTTTATAATCATAGTAATCATTTGTTTCTGGATTCCCTACCTGCAATTCATAGCTAACTCATTAGTAGTGGCAATTCTTTGACTTGGTAACCGTATGGGTTGTGAATTAACTGTGAATCAACTAGGAATCGATATGTACAAGGAACTGATCGATACAAATGTAATTTTTGTCCCCACCAATAGACCAGGATGTATCAATATCAGAATGGAAAAATCCAATACATATCAAAAGATACTGCACAAACTGTTGATATTTAAAACCATGTGCATATGTGAGGTAGGAGGTGCATTTCATGATGTCAACTACACATAAATCAATGTATGGCATAAAGGCAAAAGACACTAATAGTACAAGTCGAACCCAAAATGTTGGAAGTCATGAATTCACCCTTTTATCCATTGGGCTATCATACAGATTGCCGTATTAGTAATTTACTTTAATCACTTACATTTTTTGGGGATATTTTTATGATGCAAGTGATAGTTAAAAGTAAAATGTACTCTCCAACACATGCAAGTAATAAATTCAAAGAAAGAGAGGTCACGTACTATGAAACCTTTGAGATTAATATAGGGATATTTACTTGTATCCTTATTTCTGTCATACACAAGCTCTGCCAGCTGAGGCACATAATGTCCTACAAATAACCAAAAAAAACAAAAAAAATAGGGAGAGAAGAAAGAAAGTCATGAGAGATTTAGAGAGCCAAAATTTCAAGGTATAGGACCTTATGCCCCCGAAATTTTTACATTATGTGATTGAAAGTATAGGGGGATGGGATTTGAGTCCGAATGATTGCCTGTAGTTCTTCCTGCAGTGACCCAAAATGACAACGTTTTGGGGAAAACTTACAAAAAAAAACACACACACACAGAAAACTACCCCTCCTCTCTCTCTCTCTCCTTCGACGTTGGGGCTCCGATCCGGTTTCGATCCAGTCCCCCCTCCGTCTTCTCACTCTCTACAACTTTCTCTCTTCTCATTTTTCTCTCCCTCTCTACACATACATACATGTATATATGTAAGCGAATTCATGTGTCTAAAAGTGAAAATTTTACAAAGCAAAAACTCTTCAAGTTTGATTTTTTATTTAATTTTTCTTCAGAATTCTAATGAATAATCACAAAACTGATTTTTTTTTTAATTTTTGAGTAATTTTTCTTCAGTATTCTGACGAGTGAATCACAAAACTGGATATATTCATAGCTATTTCAATTGAAGCCTTAGGATTAGAAGAGACCCAAAATCATAGTCAATGAGAGAATCTGGACAAAATCTAGAAATCTTGCTTTTGTAGAGAGAATCAACGGAGATATGGGGTTGTTTGTGTGGTGTTGAGAGGGAGAGAAAGTTGATTTGGGTTTGAGTAAAGAGCTGGGGTGGGTTTGATAGTTGTTTTTTTGATAAATTATAAATACATCTTGAGATTTGTTTAAAGTACAGATTGCCCTTTATAGTTTAAAAAATTACAAATATTCCATTGTTAAAATTTTTTATTTAACAGAATTAACTAAAAAAATAAAATTCTTAATTACTCTCCTATTAAATAATAAAATTATCAAAATTATTAATTAAAATGTATTTATAAGATCATTAAAAATTATTAATTGACTTGATGATTTATTAATAAAATAGGTGATTTGTTATAAAATTAGAAATCTTAGGGATGGGATGTAATTTTTAAAACTTTAGCGGGTGATTCGTATTTTAATCAAAGTTCAGGAATGTATTTGTAATTTTTATATTTTTTTAGAGAGAAGAAGGAGGAAAAAAGAGCAGATCCGCCACCTCGTTGCTGCCACCAGCACTGCCATGCTGTCTCCGTCGCCTCACCTCATCGTTTCTGTCGTCTCGCCTCGCTGCCGTCACCCTCATCCTCTGTTCTTGCTCTTATACTAGTCGAGTAGGTTAAGAGTTTTACCGCTGAGAGAGATAAAAGAAAAAATAATATCAAAACGACGTCATTTGGCACCATGGCAGGAAGTACTGTAGGATAGAACGGCAGAGGATCCAGACTCAATGGGTTTTAGGGTCAGAATACACTTTTAGATATAGTCACACAATCGTGTTTTGAAATTCTTGACTGAGTGTGTATTAAGGATATATGGGCAGATTTTAGGGTCAGATGAAATCCCTCTTATTCGTAATGCACTTCTAGCCACACGATTGTATCTGGAGATTCTTGTAAGGGTTAGGCTATATCACCTGCATAACTCTCTCCTGATATGAAGACATCATGGTTTTTGAAGTGTGGAAATCTTTTCATCCAATTCACCAGGAAATTGTAGACATCCTCAGCTAAAAAAGTTGGTAGAACAGATGATAAACATAGAATTTAATTATTGAATGAAGGTACATAAGAAAAAATTGGATTGCATTTAATTATATTCTAATGAATGGTGAAATTACCAACAAACACATCATCCAATTTGGTAAAATCAGCAGATGTGTTGGTGTAAGAGAACCCAACTCCCACTGGTGACTCCACAAACAGCATATTGGCTTCTGCACGATATATTATACACTTCAAATTTAATTTCATTACTTAATAGTAATTACTTTCATCTTAAATATTATGATTTCACCTGATTATATATTCACACAACAAATATCATAGTGTGGAACCCAAAGAAGTTATCTGAAAATGAAATATGTGAACCAAATTCATTCTAAGTATGACCCACATCACACTAAAGTTAAATTTACATAGCATATTTCATTTTCTGATAACTTTTCAAAATATCTTTTGGACACCCCAACTTTTCCCAAAAAGTATGGTGCCTGTGTCAAATGTTACATAAATATGTAGAATTGACCATATTTAGAAAACAATTAATAATGATACAGAGTCCAAAAAAATTATCTAAAAATGAAATGTATAGATCAAATTCATTCTAAATGTGATCCATATCACAATAAGTTTGAATCTACATAACATACTTCATTTTCTGATAACTTTCCAAACTATTTTTTGAGCTCCATAACATATTCACATTTTGGCTTGCTAATAAATTTTCAATTGTAGCATCTTCATACAATCAAATTGAGTAGCCAAGAGCTGTTATGATGTATAAAAACACTGGCCAAGAGCTGTTATGATGTATAAAAACACTGGCAAAAAAAGATCAAAGAAAGAGACTATGAAATGAAGAAAAAGACCTTTATTCCAAGAATGTTTATTGAATTCAAGACCAGAACCACTTGCATCGACTCTGAGAGGACCCAATTCCACAGCAGCACCATACCCAATTGATGAACAACCAGGTCCTTCAACAGCCCAAAAACATTAAAAATAAATAAACAAAACCATTGTTAGAGTCAACATAAAAGTCATAGTAACTACTTGGTACATTAATGTATGTTTTTGTGGAGTATATCACACTCATTAACCAGAGGAATCAATTACAAACAAATAAATACAAAAGCACGGTACACAAATTTACATAGTTCTATAAAATTGGTTAGGTCAATGACTTTCACTAGTTTCACTATATTAAAAAAAGACAAAAATCAATACAGCTGCTTGTGTATACAACAATATATATGCTACTATTTACATCATTAAATTATCATAAATCTCTTACTACTAGTCAAAAGTAATTCACCTTGGAGGCATAGGAAAATGAATTTAGTCACACTTCAGGAGTATGTGAACAAAAGCAGAATTCGATTCCTCCAAAAATGTGAACTCTATATCCAAAAATGTATTAATCTCATTTAAATTATAGACTCCTTTGGTTTAAACGATCAAAAATTGTGTTTTGTTTAAATATTTTGATACTGTGTAAATAAAATAGAATTCAGTAGTGGAGGTGATAATGTGTACAGTACTAACCAGATTCTACCAACTCAACTGTACACTTATATTTATTGGAGAAAGAAATGTAGTGAAGTTGTACCTCCATTGAACCAGAGCAAGAGGGGCTTAATGGACGGATGAGATTGAGCTTCAAAGAACCAATAGAAAAGTGCCCTCCCATGATCTTGGTTAACTGTGATGTAGCCAGAGAAGTGAGAGAGTGGTGGACTTGAAGGCTGACCTGGTAGATTTAGTACTTTATCCGATTCATGTGCTGCTTTAATGCATGTAGTAGTAGTAATAAAGGACCCAAGAAAAATAAATAGAGTTAGAAGAAGAGAGAGAAATGGAAGCTTTGTAGGAGCTGAGACTGAAGAAGCCATGTCCTCTCTCCTCTCCTCTCTCCCCCTCTCCATTTAATCTTTCTTATAACTGTGAGAGAAAGGGGAGAGAGTGGAGAGGGAGAGAGGGAGAGAGAAGTGGTGGGGGTCTGAAATTGTGGTTAATTTGAAAGAAGTTAAACAGTCAATGTCCATCCCATGAAATTTGGAAAATTACAGTTTTGCTAAGAATACCAAAAAAATATATATATATTTTTACAGGTTAGGATATAAATGTTAGACAAAAATGTGAGACCATATTTTATTTCACACCTATGTTCCATTATGTAAAAATATTCTATGCATTTAGTTTTTTTTTTCAAATTTATGTGGATTAATTTTGTTTTCAAAATATTACTATTATTGTTATTATTATTTATTTATTTTTTTTAACTTTGTTAAAAAGAGAGGATTTCTATTAGCATCTACTTTAAATCTTTGGACTCCCATTTCTTTGAACACCTATCATAAATCTTAAATTTCAATGATATTTTTTTTAACACTCCACTTAGTATCAAATTTACCACTATTCATAATATCATTACATCCAAATGCACACCTACCTAATTTTACACACCCTCTCCATCATGGTTGAAAATAGTCTCTCTCCTTCCCTCGCTTGTTGAAGAATGACGATGATGGTCCCTCTCCTGTTGAAGAACGACGATAATGACGGTCCCTTTCCTGGATTTATTCTAAATCAGTGAATGACAATATCCAGTTTATCAAAACCATTGCATCATTGCATCATTGTTGTAAAACTAAGCCAAAATCACACCATTGGTCGACCGCCCAAGGGTTGGTTCAACATTGTGTTACCGAACATAAACAACTTTGTCAACACCGTGTTGCCGAGTAGAAATTATCTGCTTAGCAATGTATTGCCAAACATAAACAATTTTTTTAGTAGTGCGTTGCCAAACAACATTTGCTTAGCACTATGTTGCCAAACATAAATAATTTTTTCAGCATTGTGTTGCCGAACAACATTTGTTAAGTATTATGTAATTTAACCCTCAATTCACTCTTTTCCATTCTAATTCAATATAACAAACAAAATAATAGACATCTATTCCAATTCAGCCATTAATTTATAGTTCAGGGTTTAGAATTGTGATGAAAATGAATATGTTTAGGGTTTAGGATAGTGATGAAGAGGAATATGCTGGGTTTAGAATGGTAATGAAAAGGAATGTCGGGTTTAAATATGGCGATGAAGAGGAACGTGATGAAGAGGAATATATTGAGTTTAGGTGGCAGAGGTGGATGTGCAATATTGTAGAGTTGTCTTTATTCGGTGGATGGGTATTTCATTAAAGATTGTCCTCTAATGTAATTTTATTTCAAGTATAATTATAATAAAAAAAATTGAGACTTGGAAAGTCCAAAGAAATTAAGTAGGTGATAATAATGGCCTTCTAAAAAAAAAATCAGTTTGACAAAAATAACGGCCAAAAAAAATATTTTTCCAATATGAAAATGATGAATATTTTTATTTTCTTACAAAATTATTTTTTTTGAATCACCATATTTGGTTTCATTTTCAAAATTTATTTTTAATATTTTTTGGTGAATAAATCCTCTTAATTAGATCTTGTCGATATTGTATTTGAATTCTTTTTATTTTCTTGTTCTGAGTTTTTTTCAACTGCACAATGCAAAAATTAACCCATGCATCTAAAATATCACGTGATTGTGTTCGATTAATGATAAACTTGTGTTATTGAACAAACATACAACTAATATAAAAATTTAAGATACAGTTATATTTTCTTTCTTTCAAACATTGGACTAAAAATCCCCTTCCTTCAAATGTCAATCATCGAGCAATCCAATTGCCTCTTGGCAATAAACATTGAATAATGTTATAAATGTTATGCAAACTTAAAAATCATTTAAAATTTTCAATAATTTATTGACGTGGTTTCAATTATATTATTGAATTAGATCCTATTTTAAGTTTTAAAATATCTTTATTGCATGTTATACCAGCTAAAGGATAAATTATAAATACATTATCAGAGATTTGCTTAAAATATAAATTGTCTTCTGTGGTTTTGAAAGTTACATCTCATCCCTTGAAGTTTCAAATTTCATAATAAATTATTCATTATATTAATAAATCATCAAGTCAATTAATAATTTTTAATAATACTAAAATTTTATTTCAATTAATAATTTAAGTAATTTTATTATTATATAAGAGAAAAGTTAGAAATTTTATTTTTTTAACTAATTTTGTTAAATAAAAATTCTAATAAAAAGATATTCATAATTTTTTAAATTATAAAAAATAATTTATATTTTAAATAAATCTGAATGCTATACTTATAATTTATCCTAAAAATAATCTATAAAATTTGAGATTTATCCACAAACATTTGGCCATTTATCCACAGCATCCTAGCAGTATCCAGGAAATTTCATCCACGTGTCTTGTTGCTCATTATAATCCACAAAGGGATGAGTCCAAACAGAAGGGAACGTAGTAGGCAGTTCCATAGGGAAAAGGTAATGAATGGAACGTAGTAGGCAGTTCCATCGGGAAAAAGGTATCTATCGTAAATGGTTTATTAAAATTTTTTATCAAATTTTTTATACGGGTGTGAGATTTATATAAATTGATATGTGTGTGTCTTATATCTATATAAAAAGTTTGATAGATAATTTGATAAATTATTTAGGATCTAATGATACAGTTTGTCTCAGTGAATGGATCGGACTGGTCCAAGCTTCTCAAGCCCAGGTCCAAATGATCAAGCTCACCGGACAACCTGCAAACAAGTTCAACGGGGAACGGGGTAGTCCCCTAGTGAACCCTCCAACGAGTAAGTTAGGAAGAGAAGTAGAGTATAGAGGGAGAGATTAGAGATAGAAAAACTTAACTTTCTTCTTGTCTTCAACGTTTACTTATATCATTTGGTAATCATTTTGCTGTCCCTTCCGACCTGCCCTTCTCGCCGAAAGTCTATACTGTAACTTACCTTGTTCAGGGTAAGGGGGTCCTGTTCCGACGGAGAGGTGTTGTCGTAATAAATGCTATGATGGGCTGCATTAATGGTGATGTGCAATGGCAATAATTTTGTAGATCTTTGTCTGCTGATGTAGCTCGTCCTTCAGCTGCCGTGTGTCTGAATGTCATTGGTTCTTTATGCCATGTTGGACTCCAACTGTCCTGGACCTCACCAGCTGGGTTATGCATTGGGCTTGAAGTGATGGGCTTGAATTGTTCATAGTGATTCGTGGCCTTTATGAGCTTATACACGTCAGGATCTACAACATAATTTAAAAGGTAATTGTGACATAATTAAATATTTGTCATTGGATATATTTATATGGGATTAATTTTTTTTTATAGAACAATTGGGGTTAATTATACCAACATTTCTTCAATTATTAGTAAATATCATATTATCTTCCTCATATATAAATTAATTTATTTTGATTCTTTAACAATGAAAGTGTATCAAATCTTTAAAAAAAATTGACGTATATAAGTCCATAAAGGCCACGAATCACTATGAACAATCCAAGCCCATCACTTGGAGCCCAATGCATAACCCAACTGGTGAGGTCCAGGACAGCTGGAGTCCAACATGGCATAAAGAACCAATGACATTCAGATACACGGCCGGTGAAGGACGAGTCACATCAGCAGACAAAGATCTGCAAAGTTATTGCCACTGCACATCACCATTAATGCAGCCCATCACTGCATTTATTACGACAACACCTCTTCGTCGGAACAGGACTCCCTTACCTTGAACAAGGTAAGCTACAGCATAGACTTTCGGCAAGGAGGGCAGGTCGGAAGGGACAGCGAAATGATTACCAAAGGATATAAGCAAACGTTGAAGACAAGAAGAAGGTTAAGCTTTTCTATCTCTAATCTCTCCCTCTATACTTTACTTCTCTTCCTAACTTGCTCGTCGGAGGGTTCACTGGGGGACTATCCCGTTCCCCGTTGAACTTGTTTGCAGGTTATCCGGTGAGCTTGATCATTTGGACCTGGGCTTGAGGAGCTTGGACCAATCCGATCCATTCACTGGGACAAACTGTATCATCAGTTGGCGCCGTCTGTGGGAAGTGGTTCTTATCCGGATGCCAGTTGTGCTCATTATCGCCGGAGACCCTGTCCTAATAACCTTTTCCTCCTACCCATCCAAGTGTATGGTCACGACTAGATCCATGGCTTCTCACCATAATGCTGTCGACCATCAAACCGACCCTCCCAATCCAAACAACCCACCACAGTATATCATTGAGCTTACCAACAGCATTAATCGCATGGCCGAACAAAACCAGGCCTTGATAAATGCTTTACTCCAAAGAAACCTTCCGATGCCTCCTCTACCACCTCCAGATATCCCACCCAACCAAGAAAGAGCCCCGAGCCATACTGTTCCGCAACCCTATCCATCCAACTTGGAGGGTTTACAACCCCCCCCCCCTCGCGCGCGCGCGCGCGGGCGCGCATATAAATCTACCACCTCCACCCTCACACCATTCGGTCGTGGCACCAGGCCCTGAAGGGGAAGCCAGTAGCGTCCAGCCCCCATTGACTGACCATGGTGACCACATTCCCCTCTGGGACGCTGAACTTCGAGCAATGAAGCTCCAGCTCTAAGGGGTCATGCAGAACATTTAGCATAAACCCTCTACCACGGCAAGCTCACCATTTGTTGCCTCCATCCGGGACAAACCTCTGCCTGCCAAGTTCAAGATGCCCACCATTGACTCTTTTGACGGTACGATGGACCCAGTCGACCATTTGGAGACTTACCGTACCCTCATGATTCTCCATGCCTTCCCTGACGAGATCATGTGTCGGGCTTTCCCTGTGACACTAAAGGGGTCAGCTCGACTGTGGTTCAGCTAGTTACCAGCAGACTCTGTCTCCACTTTCCAGCATCTCAGCGACTCCTTCCTTAGCCATTTCATTGGAGCCTAGCGCCAACGCCGCCCTACAACCCAACTCCTCAACATCCGTCAGACCGAGAGGAAGTCGTTGCGCAGTTTCGTTACCCGCTTCAACACTGAAGCCCTGCAGGTAGCGGAAAACGATGACAAGGTCATCTTTATGGCTTTCATGGCCGGGCTACAATTGT